AAGCAACTTTTAGTTTTTTTACTTACTTTTAAATTTTTAACATTCCTCTGACATTGTCCCATAAGCACATGCTCCCAAATGATTATGCTCCACAGTTTCCTGAAGCAAACTTAAATAAATGAATAACTCCCAGATAGAAACAAAGATGTTCAGAAACAAAGATCAGAGATGACTGGCCTGATTCCCAGAGAAGAGTCAGTGACAGACCTCAGATGCATGAATGTATTGACTCTATGGCTCATAGCACTTAAGTCTTCCCCATCCCCAGATCCCAAGATAGCAGTTCTGATACATGACACTAATGTATCATCTACCTTAAAAAATACATATACACTTATTTATATATATAAATATATATATATATATTTATATTTACTGAAGTCAGTAAAAGCAAATCCCTAAAATAGGATCTTTCTTGGCAGAAGAAAAATATATGATTTTTTATCTGATCTTTTCTTCAGATTATCTTCCAAGTGATAATTAAATTAACATCCCAGACTGCACTGAGTGAGGTACACATATAAAATCCTAGGAACATTTCAGAAAGATAATTCTTGTTAGGGTTGGGGGAGTCATGGGATGAAATATAAAATGCAAGTTCCTCTTCTATCCTAATGCCTACACAGATGAGAAATTAAAGATCTGAGAGTGTAAACAGCTTATCCGAGATTGCACAGTTTGTGGGCAGAACCAAGAAGAGAAAACTTGTTTTCTTAACTTCCAGAGTGGTGCTTTTTCTATTGTATTATACTGAGTATGATGAGTTCCTCCCTTCACACAACTGACAGAGTCTGACGGACGATTAGGCAGGTGGGAGTGAGTAATTTGCTGTGGTAGTCATCCTTTTCCTGTTACTGTCACAGGTGGAACAGAAAGTCTAACTTTTGTTGTGCTACAAGTAGCATTGCACAGTATAAACGAACTTTCAGTTAACATTCTACACATTCCTGGTTTCTTTGTGGCAAACAATTTTACTACCTTAAAATTCAAACTGTTCGGGAGACAGAGGATCAAATATTAGAGTAAATTTGAACACCGTTTCTGATAAGGCAAAGAGAAAATCCATGATCACTGCCAAAATTGCTGCCTCTAAGTGACCTTCCATAGCAGTAGGGCAATCGGCCCCGCTTGGGAGATGCTTGTTTGGCAGCAGCAGCTCAGCCTTGCTGTAGTTCAGGCCTTCGCTCTAACTCAGCTCCTGGTGATGTTTCCTGACGGCTAATATGCCATTTTTTGAAGACTATCAACAGTTAAAAGACGCATAGCCCATCAGAGGCATTTATCATCTCAGCTACTATTGCTTTTTCCGCTGCTCACTTTCAGTAAACATTTTAAAGAAACAGATTTAACTTTTACCTTCCACTGGGATCGCCTGATGAGTCATGGCACGTTGAGGAAGGAAAGATGTCAGGAATGTTTAATCAGCAGTGATTTAAACAAGGGACATATTTGAGGAAATTAACAAAATTAGCAGGCACACGACTCCAGGGTGATTTTTCTCGCTGGTAAGACTAAACGAAAATCAGAACCCAAAGCAGTAGAAGTCTTTCAGGTCCAATTCATGCTGCCAGAGTTAAAAGACTGCCAGGGTGGAAAGCTGAGTCACTCCCTATGCCAGTTACAGCTGTGTTTTTCATATTTATAATGAATTTCTTGATTCCAATCTTAAAAAAAATTCACTCATCTTCCAAATTTTATTCTTACCTCCTACCCTCCACCTCTTCCCTTTCCCCCATGCCCACTCCATTCCTAGGAATTGATTGCAAAGTCGTTAAAAGCATTTCGTATAACATCAGTTCAGAATGCCCTAATTTAGCCTGATGTAAACATCCTGAGGTGAAATATTCAGGACAGCTGAATCCATGAGTGGTGATTCTTTTTCTTAGTGAAGCCGTCAAAGACAAGTGAGCCAGAAAAAGTGCTTAAAACTAGTAAGACATAACGTATTTGGGAAAAACTGTAAGGTGTATGTTTAAAAAAATCAGTGGTAAAAGTGCAGGATGTGGAACTGATTTAACAACCATCATGAAAGAAAGGCTGTGAGATTTTATTGACTGAAAGTTCGGTAGGAGACAGAGAAGCAGTGTTGCAAACTTTTGCTGCTTTATGAGAAGTATAGTGTCCAAGAGATGTGTACAAAAGATTTAATTCCACCTTGCAATAATCCTATGGCACCTGGATCATCACCTATAGTTCTGGTAGCCAGATTTTCATGTTTCTGCCTGGTGTTTTTGGTCACTTCCATGTCACATTTAATTTTCATAATGTGTGTCTGTGTCTTGAACCCATCTACTGAGAATTAGTAGTACTGAACACTCATGGGAAAAATGTCAAATAACATACGAAGAAGAATCTAGTGACAGAGAGTGGGCCTATGAATACCCAGTTGCGAATTACACAGGGACTATTGCCTCACAATCAAATACCTTCTTCAAGTAACATTAAGTAAGATTCTGATGGGGATGAAGTTATCCTTCAGTGTTCTGCTTAGAACTTCAGATCTCATGGATGCAAAATAAGCAATATTCATTTGCTTATGATGATGGGAACCAAATGGGAGTATCAAAGCAATGTATCACAGACGCAGAACCTATTGACTAGAAAACTGATCTCTTTCAGTGTTTGTGGGAATTCCGACCACGTTTGTATTGTGCTAAATGAATGGTTATATCCAAATGTTTGTCAAAACCACCGCATTTGTTCTATTAAAAGGTGATAAGCTTGATTAATAATTGCTAGACCTGAACATTTAGCTTGGGAGAGAGGTTAAGTCATCCCACGGCAGTGATTAAGAGTTATTTGCCTCATGTGTGCCTGTTGCTTGCTTTGTATGATCAAGGTCTTCCAGGAAGAAAACTGAGAATAAGTTAAGGTGACTTGGCAGCGTCAGGAAAGGGATTCAGGGTTACATCACCATCTTTTGAGTAGGTGTAAAAGGACAAGCCGACTTGGTCACTACCAGTAGCAGTACAGACAACTCCCACAGACCATAGCAAACAAAGGAGCAGTTGTTAATGGTGCATGATTATCCCCCCAGGGCTCAGCACAAAGGAGGCAAGCGAAATCACCAGTCTCCCAATCTTTCCTGGAAAGGGGTCCATCTGCACATTTTGAAAGCTGCTGCCTGAGGGTCAGGCTTGTACTCTAGCACACATCTGGAGGCTGCCTGCCATTCTCCCTGGAGACCTGGGAAATGTGGAGGAACCAGGAGGGCATTATGCTAAGTGAGATGAACCAGACAGAGAAAGACAAATACTGCATGGTATCATTTCTATGTAGAATCAAAAAAAAAAGTGGAACTCAAAGAAACAGATAGTAGAAAAGTGGTTGCCAGGAACAGGGTTTGGGGTGGAGGAAATAGAGAGAGATTGGTTAAAGGTACAAACTCAGGTATAAGACGAATAAGGCCTGAGGATCTAATGTGTAATATGGTGGCTATAGTTGATACCACAGTTATTGTACAACTTAAATTGCTGAGAGAGTAGAATTTAAATGTTCTCACCCAAAAAGAGGGGTAATATATGTGAGGTAGCGGTTGTGTTGATTAACTTGATGCAGGCAATCCTTTCCCAATGTATACATATATCAAATTATCACATTACCTCAATTAAGCTGCAAAAGGAAATAAATAAATAGATGGTATCTGTATCCAGAGCCAGTGATCTAAATAAACTCAGTTAATAGCCTTCTACAGAGTTAACTTCTACCAGAGAACATGATTAGATCACAAGGGAACAATATATTAAATATATTTCAAAATATCCCCCGTTGGGCTTCCCTGGTGGCACAGTGGTTGAGAATCTGCCTGCTAATGCAGGGGACACGGGTTCGAGCCCTGGTCCGGGAGGATCCCACATGCCGTGGAGCAGCTAGGCCCATGAGCCACAACTACTGAGCCTGCGCGCCTGGAGCTTGTGCTCCGCAACAAGAGAGGCCGCGATAGTGAGAGGTCCGTGCACCGCGATGAAGAGTGGCCCCCGCTTGCCACAACTAGAGAAAGCCCTCGCACAGAAACGAAGACCCAACACAGCCAAAAATAAATAAATTAATTAATAAACTCCTACCCGCGACATCTAAAAGAAAAAAAAAAAATCCCCCGTTATGAGTGATTGTCATTACTCCAAATCCAGACAATATTATTGGACAATATTAATTTACATATTAACTGAGAGACTTCCAACTGCTTTTGAAAGGCTGAAGCAGCCAAAATTGTTAATAGAAAGCAGAATCATTTCTTTGGGAGTTTCAGAAGTAAAGAAATGCTTGCTGAATATAGGAATCCTTTTTTTTTTTGGAGTAGAGTTGCTTTACAATGTTGTGTTAGTTTCTGCTGTACAGTAAAGTGTACATATATCCCTTCTTTTTTGGATTTCCTTCCCATTTAGGTCACCACAGAGCATTGAGTAGAGTTCCCTGTGCTGTACAGTAGGTTCTCATTAGTATCAATAGTGTATATATGTCAATTCCAATCTCAAGAGGGAGGTTTAAGCAGAGAAAATGGAGTCACAGAGGCTGAAGATAGAAGAGTAAATGTCACATTTGGAGAATTTCAGATAGTTCAGAATGGGAGTGATGAGAAGGTAAGTGACAAGAGATGAGGCTGGACAGGAAAGGGGTTGCCATGAAGAGCTTGTTGGCGTCACTAAAGAAAGTGAATTTTTATCCTGAGGGTTATGAAGACTATTTGTGTGTTTTAAGCATATGTAGGTGTCTTGAATCAGATACACAATTTAGAAAGACCACTTTCGCTACAATGTGGAGCAGTACCGGGCAAACCCAGCGTCTTGTAAGGAGACCAGGAAAGAATAGAAAGTCGTTCCAATAATTCAACAAGAATTTGGTGGATGTTGACCAAGTTAGTAGTAGTGAGGACACAAAGAAGTAAAGAGAATCAAGGAGATCTTTGGGAGGCAGAACTCATAGGAATTAGTCTAGTTTGATTTGGGGGTGGGGGAGAGACAGGTTAAGGATGACTCCCTGGGGTCTGTCTTGTGACGCAGATGGAGGCGCTTTCAGAGAGAGGAGAGCACAGGAAGGGAGGGCAAGCCTCGGGAGGGAAAGACAAAGATACTACGTTTCGTTTTGGAGATGCTGAGTTTGAAGTGCCTATGAGACAGGTAAGTGGAAATGTCTAGTAGCACTGGAATGCATGAATCTGGAGGTCTGAAGGGAGAACATGCTGGAGCTCCAGATATGGGAGTTATCGGTATATATGAATGTTAGTTGGAGCCAGCGGAGCAGATGAAATCATATTGGAAGCATCTATAGAATGAAGAGAGAAGAAAGTAAGAGGATTGATCCCTGAGGAACATCAGCTTCTAAGAAGTTGTCAGAAAAAGGAACCCATGAAGGAGTATGAGAAGGTGCAGCCTGAGATAGGAGAACTAGATGAGTACAGGATCATAGAAACCAAGGACAATGTTCAAGAAAGAAGATGTGGGAACCGATGATAGACACGTCTGAGCGGTCAAGTAAGATAAGGGCTAAAAGTAGTACATTGTCTCTAGCAACCATTAAAATACAGCAATGACCTGGTCCTCAAGTTTCTTACAATTTACATGGGATTGGCAGGGAACTGGCATAACAAATACATGGGAAGACACAATGGAAGCATAAGAACATGTAAATTATGTTGTAAGCATGTATAAACATAAGAATTTAAATGGTCTGAGTCACATTCCATACAATTATTACAGAAAGGCTTAAAAATAGAATTTAAATGAAGTTCTATAAGAGGGAGAAATTTGGCTTGATAGAGGACCCTCCCATAGGAGAAATGGAAAATTGATTCCATTTCTACAAAGTTTTATGGGATTGCTCTGAATTCTCTTCTCATATTTCATGTGTTCAAGGTAAATTTCAAAACTGTGACTGTTTTACAGTAGCAATATATCATATTTGTGACACTTGGATTCACTGACATATAGTGTAAGAGTTTTCTCCCTATGGTCACTGTCGGGTTTCATTTCATATATTGTTTTCAGGCTTAAGGTTTTTCCCCCTTTTTTTTTTTTTCACAAGGAAGAATAAAGAAATAAGATTTACTGAGCTAGAAGGCTAAGTCCCAGCGTGGTAGGCGTTATTATTCCCATTTTACAGGTGAAGAAGTTGAGCCTTAGAGGGGTTCAGTAACTTGCTTACAGTGAAGCCAAATTCTTTCTAACAGATGTTATTATGCTCCCTCTTCCCTTGTCATTCTTCATATTTTGAAAAGCTGGTCACTAAAATAATGGCAAGATTCCCATCCTCTCCTCCTAATAGGTTTCTGATAATATTTCTTCATTCAAATGCTGTCTTATATGCCTAGATTAGAAATCTTTGCAGGTAAATACTGCTCTGAAAGAAAATGAACTTCAGAGCTCTTTACCTGATAACACTCTAAGCAATTAGGAGAATCATAATTGTTACCTCCACCATCATCATTGTTACTATTGCACTGGCCGTTTACTCAGACACCAATAAAACTTTTTAAAAGACCTTACAAGGTGGCTTAAAAATCACAAAGGATTTAAGAGGCTTACAGTTAATGTGTTGTAATCTCAGTGGTCCAAGAAGGCATGTTTATTTCTCAAATATCACCCCCTCACCCACATGTATATTTGCTGATGTTTAAATTTCTATTAACTTTAATGTTTAAAACTCTATGAACAGGGAGTAAAGACTTTCATTGCACAAGGGAAATGAGACTTAAAGAAACATACCTTTTGAAAGAGGGAAACTGGATGAATAGAATGGACTCCAAGGTGTAAATTACTGTTCTAATTAGATCTGAATGGTAGAGAATAGGTGGAGTACAGAAGTCACTTTATGACCAAAGTGTCAGAAGTTAGAGGGTGCCACAAAGGGGGGAGGGAGGAATGACAGGCTGAGATGACCAAAATGTGCAGCATCATGTTTTTGCTTAAAAGCATCCCTAGAAGGCTAACATGCCTTTAATTCCTTCTCCCCACATTTTGTAAAAAAGTTGCAAAATGTTTCTTTTAAGTTCTGAACTATAGATACGGCTTTCTTTAGAATCTTGTCTCAGCTTTCTACCTCTAGATTTATTATGCAGTTCTTGGCTTGTTGACATGTGCTTAGGTATGTTTATCCTTATTGATAGTTTTAAATTATGAATGCCTTGGGGCCAGGATCTAACTACCTTGCTTACCATAGCAGAATACTATTGGTACATGTCTGCTAAACAAATAGCAAATATCACTAGGTTTGGTATGTGAAAATTAGGAGTATTTGTCCTTTGATTAGATGCTTCATAGGTGGGGAATGTATTGTACCATTTTAGGCTTCTGCAAAGGGCACCATCTAAATCTAAGGAAAAGTGAAACAAACAACAGAGTGAATAGGTCAGGGAAGAGCCCAGATGGTTGAGACAAGTGCTGTTGTGACCCAAATTGTTCCTAAGAAGGTGATATAATTTTTTTTTAATTTTAATCTCTTGAATTGACAAAGGTGTAGACTTTGCCTATTTAAATATTTTTTAATTTATTGAATCTTTGATGTTCACACTTTTGCGTATTACCTTCTGAATATGAACACTTTTATTTATCCTTTGGACATTCCCTTTCTTAGTGATTAACTCAAAAAGTTTCATTTGAAATACCCCTGAATGAAAGTCACCCGAATATTGCAAGGAAGGATTTTTGATCAGAACATATCAAAAAGTGTTTTTAGGGCTTCCCTGGTGGCGCAGTGGTTGAGAGTCCGCCTGCCGATGCAGGGGACACAGGTTTGTGCCCCGGTCCGGGAGGATCCCGAGTGCCGCGGAGCAGCTGGGCCCGTGAGCCATGGCAGCTGAGCCTGCGCGTCCAGAGCCTGTGCTCCGCAACGGAAGAGGCCACAACGGTGAGAGGCCCGCGTACTGAAGAAAAAAAAAAGTGTTTTTATATTTTTTAAAGCCTAGGAACACCTAAGAACATTCTTAGGTTTCTGACAAAGTATTGGATCTATCTCCATGTGTCTTGGTCAGATGAACTCAACTACCAGTGTTGATCAGCCATAGGAAAGAAGAGATTTATTTGAAAGAGCAATAAAGCAAGATGCTGTCTTGTTAGTAATTCTTTTTTTATGCTCTAAGTTTGCCCAAGCACATTTTTTTGGTAATGATCCCAAATAGGACTGCCAAAGGAATTTCACATAGAATACATAGAGTATAATGAAGACCACATGGTGGGCCTGTTTTAAAGCATACTGGCAGTCTCCCTTTTCCATTTCCGTTCCTCACCATCCTTTCACTCCTCCCATTTTCCTTTCCTATGTCCTCTCTCAAGTTGGTACAGGAGATCCGGTATTGAAAGTGGTCAGGAGGAACACTTGATGGAGAATGAGATGAGTGAACAGTTTAAGGCTGTGTAAGTGAGATGTGAGAGAAAGTCTTCAAACGCTTAAGGATTTCAACTCAACCCAATGTTGTTTGGTACATCCTAGAGGAGGAGGGAGTCTCTAACAATTTTTCAATGGCCAACTTATTGTCAATATGACCTAGTTTAAGTCAGTCAAATATTGAATGAGGGTGTGAAAATTTCTCCTTGTGGATTCAGATTAAATATAATACCTGATTTTTTTCTTTCTCTGTTTTCAGCCATATTTTTAAATCAGAAATCATTGTGTTGAATACTCCATGAACCCAGTTATAACTTACCGCATAAAACATCTAAGTTAAGAAAGGAATCAAGGATCATACTTTAATAAAATCCCAATTGAATTTAAAGTCTCCCGCAGCACGTACAACATCTGGCACAGAGGAGGGTGAAATGAAATGGTGACTCTTGAACATGGGCGTGCAGCCCACAGGAATACAAACTGACCTGGCACCAGAAGTATAACGTATTAAGGCTAACAAGTATCTTCAATCAAGAATAAGGCCAAAACTAAGAGAGATGAGAGAGAAGATAAACTACAGAAGGTCATTTGGGCCATCTAAAGAATAAAATTCTTTTTGAGGAAAAGTTTCTATTAAGACACTGCAAAATAAATTCATGAATTGAACAGCTGTGCTTTACTTCTAAAAGATTTCATGGACAATTTATTAGTATGCATCACATCTAAAAGACTGAAGTTTAATTATACAAAATTATTAAAAAGAGAAAACTTGTGTTTCTCTTTCTTTCAGTGAGAGAGCAAAACAGTTAAGTGCTTAACTGGATACCTTCAGGCTCTTTCACAAACTGAATTGGGAACATCTTTTCTTTTATAGTCTTGGGCTCTACTCATATCAGTCTCTACCTTTGAGGAGAGAAAATGCATGGTGGGAAAATACAATAGTGTATAAGGACAGCCTACAACCCCATCACCATTCCATCCCATAGTTAACCCAATATGACTCCTTGTTGCTGAAGCCTCAAGCCAGAAACCCACAGTGGATACAAAAGGTAGATGAAATTCATTTTCTATTCCCCCACCTCAAATAAGGGAAGGGCCTAAAATATTAAGACCATGACATTAAAATTCCACAGCTCAGTCCAAGAAAAGCCCATGAATGATATGCCTCCATGTTTCCAAAAGCTGACAAGAAAAATCCAGCAGTAAATCCAGATTAGTAGAGCTGTCCAGGGTCCTGACCCCCATTCAGCACCATCTGTGGCCCTTTGTCTCCTTCCCTGTCTCTGTGTTTTAAACACTAATCATCTTGACCGTCAACATTCCTTCAGAAATGCTGACAGCTCTTGCCTACTACTCCAGAGCACTTCGGTACTTTCCTGTACAACCTGACCGTAGAAAATCTTAGTAGATGTGGCTTTCTCTTTCCCTCAACCTGTGGACATCTAGGATAGGGAGCATGGAACCCTCTGGATTAAGTGCATGCTTTGATGACCCTGGAGAGACTTAAGACCATTCGTTTATTTCTAAGGACAAAGTAATTTATTTATATTTAAAAGTTATTTCCCAAGTCGGACTTCTTGGTTATGAAAATATCCATGATTTGATATTCTTGGGTCCCAGGGGCTACCAGCATAATTAGTTATTAAGAGATAAAGTAAGACAACACACTCATGTAAACAAGGTCAAGATTAAAAGGCCAATACAACCATGGTCACTATTCATCACACATATGTTCCCATGCCAGAGCAAATACTGCTAAGGGGAAAAAGTCAGATATTAGCATAACACAGTCTAGTTA